AGTCCATACCTGCTCACATGATGAGCTCCACCACGATGACGATGACCCTCTCACCTGCCCGCATGATGAGCTCCACCACGATGACGATGACCCTCTCACCTGCCCGCATGATGAGCTCCACCACGATGACGATGACCCATCTCACCTGCCCGCATGATGAGCTCCACCACGATGACTATGACCCTCTCACCTGCCCACATGAGGAGCACCACCACAATGATGATGAGCTCTCCAGCTTGCAGTTCAGGGCTCTGTCCCACTTCTTCCATCGTCACCTCGTCTGCAGGAGAGGGGCTGGGTCAGCACGCCTGTGTGCCCAAGCCCGACTTGCACGGCTACGCTGTGGCTGTGTCTTGTGGTAAGGATGTTGCTCATGGAACCTGGCTGTGTTTGGGGGTGAGGATGTCGCAGCTTTAATGTCTCTGTGAACCGCGCTGCTGTGATCATGTGACACCTTTGTGAGTGTACACGTTAGTGTGTCCGTGAGTGTACATATTAGCATGTCTGTGTGTGTACATGTTAGTGTGTCTGTGAGTGTACATGCTGACGGAGCCTGGCTGTGTTTGGTGGTGAGAATGTCACAGCTTTAATGTCGCCGTGAACTGCGCTGCTGTGATCATATGACTCACCTTTAGTTTTGGATGCCTGCTTCTCAGCTTCCTTTGGGGTACGAAAGTGCAGGGGAGTGCTGGGTGGGCTTAGGCCCCGCATGCTGATGGCCTGCACATGCACGGTGTAGTCTGTATCCTCCTCCAAGTCCCATAATGCACAATAGCGGCTGGTGGTGTTCACTTCCTGGATGAAGCGCAGCATGCGCACATCCTTCTTCTGCTTCGAGTGACACACACAAGAGTCAGCTGAACACATACGGGATCACACACGTGCTTATGTGGACACACGCCTCAACTACCTGCTGCGTAATGGCAAAGCCAATGATGGGCGCTCCTTCGGGGATGTCCCATGTCACCACGGCGGAGCTGGCCGTCAGGGCCTTGACCGTTACATTGACGGGGCGTGTCAGGTTGTCTGGAACCAAAGACAGTGGAGGGGGTTACTAATCTCCTCTCTTCCTCTTGTTGTCTCATTCTGCACCTATCATCATGAAACCCAGGAGTGTACATATTAGTGTGTCTGTGAGTGTACATATTAGTGTGTCTGTGAGTGAGTGTTCATGTTAGTGTGTCTCTGTGTGTGCGCATGTGTGCCCATATAGCTGTGTATGCACCTGTAGTATAAGAAAAGGGGGAATCTAGACAGCCACCCAGCCCAAAGCCACAGGTCAAGCCCCGTTAGTGGCACAGTTACTGCAGCACAGTTCATCTTTCTTGTTGGTACCAACGGACAGAGAGCACATGGAAGCCACTGCTCCTGCTCTGAGCTGAGAAGGATCCTGCAGACGGCACCGATCACCCTCCAGCCTGGACCGCTGTCACTGTAAATTCTCACCTGCTGCTAATGGGCCGAGGTGGACATCTTCTTGCCATGTACTGGTTCTTCTAGCTGTGATTACCCAGAAGCCATTTCTCCCCTGCTCTCTTCAGAGTACAGAGAGATAATGTGGCCTGAGAGCTTGTGAGCGCCACATGGAACGGTGCTCTCAAAGTGGGCTGTCTGCTTGCTGAGCTTGAGGGATGCCATACCAGCCCTGACAGCATAAAAGGCCTTGCCTGGGGTGTCCCTTTGGCAGTATTTCACCATTTTTGGCCCCTTCAGGAGTATTTTGTATGTTGTTTATTCAGAGAAAATAACATTCTGAGGGATTAGAACATAAGAATATAAGAAACTTACAAACGAGAGGAGGCCATTCGGCCCATCAAGCTCGTTTGGGGAGAACTTAACTAACAGCCCAGAGTTGTTAAAATCTTATCTAGCTCTGATTTAAAGGAACCCAGGGTTTTAGCTTCCGCTACACTAGCAGGAAGACTATTCCATACTCTAACTACATGCTGTGTAAAGAAATGCATCCTCAAATTCGCTTTAAAATGTTCTCCCACTAATTTCCACCTATGACCATGAGTTCTAGTACTTAAACTAATATTGAAGAAGCCATTTGGCTCAACAGCATCCAGACCCGTTAGAATCTTATAGACCTGAATCATATCCCCCCTTAGTCTCCTTTGCTCGAGGCTGAACAGATTCAGCTCAGCTAAGCTCTCCTCATAAGACCAGGAATAATTCTTGTAGCCCTATATCGAACCCTTTCTAAAGCAGCAATGTCGTTTTTAAGGCATGGTGACCAATCCTGCACACAATATTCTAGGTGGGGTCTTACCAAGGAATTGTATAATTGTAGCATCACCTCCCTTGACTTAAACTCCACACACCTGGAGATATAACCCAACATCCTATTGGCCTTTTTAATTGCTTCCCCACACTGGCGAGAGTGGGACATGGAAGCATCAACATACACACAAGGTCTTTCTCATAATCATCTACCTTTATTTCAGTGGAATCCAGAAAATGTCTGTACTTTATATTTCTGCTCCCTGCATGGATTACATTTGTCTACATTAAAATTCATCTGCCAGATATCAGCCCAGTCGCTAATTAAATCAAGATCCCGTTGTAACCTCTGTGCTGCTAGTTCAGTATCTGCTACACCACCCACCTTGGTGTCGTCTGCAAATTTAATGAGTTTACTGTATGTATGGGTGTTAATATCATTAAATAAATTCTGTGAAGTGTAATGTGCAGATGTTGAGAAATATTAACTGTGCATTTGTGCAAACTGAAGATGTGC